ATTGTTATCCATGCGTATGACATGGCTGACCTAGGTCATTTGCCTCCGCGCTAGCATGGCTGCCAGGTGTCGTACTGCAGTGTTGGTGATTTTGTCAGACCATTTGATTCGCATTGAGTTGAGTAGGTGGCGCTCTTGCTGCAGGCAGTTAAGGTTTGGGATGTGGCGACGATAAAGGGGGAGGTCTCTAACGAGTATAAAGAATCCTGGCTTTACAATCACAGGGTGCAAAAAACAGTGCCGAAAAATATTTTAAAACTCCCCCAATCCATTCCCTGTAACACAGGTAGCATACACAGAATATGGGGGTTGGGAGTGGTGGTGCTTTAAAGGGTTTTTTGGCACTTGTTCCGGAGTGATCAGAACACACAAGGAACGTGCTCATCTCAAATTCAAAGCAATAAAAACTTTATACCACTTATTCGGTCATGTATTCCCTCTCTCAATAAAGTTAATGTGATATAACTGCTAGGAAAAAATCCCTTAGAATTTAATAGCAATAAACAATAGGATTGTGTATAAATTTGAAAATACATATATAATTTAACAGAGAATGTGATCCCTTTTATAATTTTTGACCCGTTTTGTAGAAGTCATGTAACGTTCTATTAATTGTAACATGATAGCTGAAAAATTCTAGAGAAAGGTTCTCATTTTCAATTATCTTGTAAGACTTTCCATTAGGGACAGTAATGCAAAATGCTACCATTATGCAAAGGAGCAAAGTTACAGGAGTAATTTTGTATTTCCTATGTTCTCATGCTTTCAAACTGTCATAATATAGCATTAACCCTACTCTCTGTAATTACATTTGCAAGCATGACGTGACACCTGTGCATGTCCGTCTCTCACACTCACACATATCCATACTGCAGTACTTGAAAAAAAACAACCACTGCTAACAACTAGTGTTTCTCCCCCCCTTCTTTCCATCACAGACACACTTACTTAAACGACTGCAGGGAGCGCACAAGGAAAGTCAATGCAAACAGGAGTATTTTGCCTTTGCAAGACTTTAGTGCTATTAAAATATATATAAATGAATAACAATAACTAAATTCTCTGGTATAACCAGTATTCATAAGGGATGTCAGCCTTTTGTTTGCTAGTGAGAATTATATTGCCTCCACAGATGAAACTTTGTCTCCTCTGAGTTACAGTGTGAACGCAACAGGAGGTAAAACCTCAGTACCACCTGTTAGGTACAATGAAGATCTGTCTGTCCGTCATGGATATTATTGAAACCTATTGCTAATGAATAGAAGAGTTCATATTTCATAGCTATTGTCATCAGATGGGTATTTTCCACTAGGGCAAACTACTGCCGTCCGACGACAGTGTAACTGTGAAATAGGACTTCACTAAAAACAAGTATTTCCAGCACTGTCAGTTCTAAGGGAACACAGACCTTCAGCCCTCACCATGCTAGTCACACCTGCCACCTCAGATTTCCGCCTCAGAAATAGCTTCCCACAGCCATTTGGGAAGCTTTATTTTGGGGGGCTCAGTGGCATAAAGATATTTTCACCTCTAAGTGATGGCAGCTGAGGTTGGTTCTGCCTCTATTGCATGACCACAATCTAGGGTAATTCAGCGGTACCCTTGAATGGACGCTGAGCTATCGCCAACCCAGTGACGACACCAACAAGAAGATAAAGACAAGGGTGAACATCATCCAGAAGCTTGCTGGCACTTCCTGGGGATGTGATCCTTTCACACTTCGAACATTATAAGCCCTGGTCTTGCCAACAGCAGAGTACTGTATGCCAGTTTGGTGCAACAGCTCCCACACCAATCTTGTTGACACTGAAATCAATGCCGTGCTTAGGATTGTTAGCGGCTCTCTTAAATCAAGGTCAATACTGTGGCTCCCAGGTTTGGCGGGCATCATGCCAGCCATCATCAGGTGAGATCTTGATGTGGTTCAGGAGTACAATCAGATCCTGGCCACTCCAGATCTGCCGCTACACCAAGACGTCATTTCACTACCACTCTCCCGACTCAAATCCAGGAAGCTTTGCTGGATCCGCACGTCGACGCTACAGGCCAACGGAAAGGACACTGGCACTCCCTGGCTCGAATCATGGGCCCCTTGTGATGGCCCAGACAAAGACCTGATTGAAGTGCCAACAAAACCAAGTCCTGGGATTCTGCCTTCCCCGTAGGCAATGGACTGCACTCAACCACGTTCAGACAACACAAGGAAGGTGTGGCTTTCTCCACCACAAATGGAAAATCAAAGAGTGTGGTGAGGTACAAATCATGCGACGCATCATGGACAACTGCCCCATTCACACTTTCAGCGGGATCCACCAGAAGCATTAGGATGGCTTTCAGATCTCAAGATTCAATTATAATCCCAGACCGCTGCTTTTCAAATGGCATGCCAAAGCAGCAGCAGCTGAGGTTGGCAGAGTGACTGAAAGTTGCGGCCATATGCACGGTGTTTGGATAGGGTTTGTGAAGTGAGATTAAGGCCTGAGGCAGGTAGGTGCTGATCTCTGCCTGGGGAGTGCTGCGCGCTCTCCACTCCTATTGCCTTCAGGCAGTACCTTGCAGGATCAGCTCTTAGGTCCATGTTTTCAAATGTGGTTGCCCACCAGTAAGTACCTAAAACTAGGAAAATGCAACCTAGATGGAGCTACTGTAAGGTGGGTGCAAAACTGGTTGGAAAACTGTTCCCAGAGAGTAGTGATCAGTGGTTCATAGTCATGCTGGAAAGACATAACGAGTGGGGTTCCACAGGGGTCAGTTCTGGGTCTGGTTCTGTTCAATATCTTCATCAATGATTTAGATAATGGCATAGAAAGTACACTAATAAAGTATGCGGATGATACCAAGCTGGGAGGGGTTGCAAGTGTTTTGGAGGATACGATTAAAATTCAAAATGATCTGGACAAACTGGAGAATTAGTCTGAAGTAAACAGGATGAAATTCAATAAGGACAAATGCAAAATACTCCACTTAGGAAGGAACAATCAGTTGCACATACAATATGGGAAATGACTGCCTAGGAAGGAGTACTGCGGAAAGGGATCTCGGGGGGTCATAGTGGACCACAAGCTAAATATGAGTTAACAGTGTAACGCTGTTGCAAAAAAACGAACATCGTTCTGGGATGTATTAACAGGAGTGTTGTAAGCAAGATATGAGAAGTAATTCTTCCGCTTTACTCCCTGCCCTGATTAGGCCTCAACTGGAGTATTGTGTCCAGTTCTGGGTACCAAATTTCAGGAAAGATGTGGATAAATTGGAGAAAGTCCAGAGAAGAGCAACATAAATGATTAAAGATCTAGAAAACATGACCTATGAGGGACGATTTAAAAAAATTGATTTGTTTAGTCTGGAATAGAGAAGACTGAGAGGGGACATGATAACAGTTTTCGGTACATAAAGGGTTGTTACAAGGAGGAGGGAGAAAAATTGTTCTCCTTAACCTCTGAGGATAGGTCAAGAAGCAATGGGCTTAAATTGCAGCAAGGGAGGTTTAGGTTGGACATCAGGTAAAACTTCCTAACTGTCAGGGTGGTCAAGCGCTGGAATAAATTGCTCAGGGAGGTTGTGGAATCTCCATCATTGGGGATTTTTAAGAGCAGGTTAGACAAACACCTGTCAGGGATGGTCTAGATAATACTTAGTCCTGCCATGAGTGTAGTGGATTGGACTAGATGACCGCTCGAGGTCCCTTCCAGTCCTATGATTCTATGATATTTATGTACCTAAATAAGTGGTCTGCTGAGTTTAGCGGGTTGAAAAATTGGCGGCGGGGCAGGGCGGGGTGGAGTGGGGGGGAAGAGTGTTACCTGAGGCTAGGTTCAGCTTTTTTGTTGAAAAACCCAAAACATTTTTTCACTGAAAACAAAACACAACAAAAAAACTGCAAAATGGAAAACTTTCAAGCACTTTGCATGACAATTTACATTTAGTCAACAACCCAATTTTCCTTAAAAAGATGCATTTAGACAAAAAAAAAGAGCCCTTCTCAGTACCGAGTGCCTGCAGGATACACTGAATTCAAAATAGGTTCATGGTCCCTCTGTGTTCTCTTGTGGTGACCATCCATGCTGGGTGTATCCATGACACTCCTGGGCATGGCACAGGCTCTCCTTGGGTGAATACCCCACTTCAGTCCCCATCAGCACAGTGGCAATGCAGTGTCCCTCCTGCTTTTGGCCCCAAGGGGACAGCATGGAGCTCAAGATTGGGCCCCAGGGTTATTTTCTAAAGTAGTTGGGGGAACTGATTCTCAGTTTCGTTCATTTCTATTCTAGTTACCCAATTGATATTTTTGATATGAATTGGTTGACTCGTGGTAGGTTTGCTGGCTTTTCCAGCAAACCATGCACAGCATGTTTCCATCAACACTAACCTCCAGTGTAAACATCACTTTTTGGAGTCACTGCTGTTTCCTGTCCCTTAGGGAAATAAAGAAGCTGGGCTAAGGATCACTTGGCCTATGGGGCTGTAACATGGGCTGCACATGTAGGACGGGAGAAGAAAAACTGGCCCTGTGTTGCAAGCCACAGGAATTTGTCATCTGAGCGGCTTCGGAGAGTTGAGAAATCACCATGCGGCTTTACTCCGATGCATGAATTCTAGTTCACACCAGCAATTGTAAGTTTAGCCCAGCGCATGCGGCTCAGTTATTCTTTCACCACCCACATGTGGATGGCTGAACTTAAAATAGGAGGAACAAATATCTCCAGAAGTTCTTCTGAATACATGGCATGGGGGGGATGTAGATGGGAATGATGCCTGGAATAAGGGCTGTAAATTATGCACAATACTTTAGCTTCACTGTTTATTTTGGTAAAAGTGTGCAAGAGGCACAACGGAACAAAGAAAGAGGACTATATCGGCTAGAGATGGGACTGATCCCAAATCTCCCACTCCTGAAGTCTGGTGTGAAACCAGGTCCAGAGTTTCCAAGTGACACCTAGTTTTAAAATGGCTCAACCCAAAACACAGACTCCACCCACCACCTGAGCTGTGCGGTGTTCAAGAACTGGATCGGCGTTCTGTGATCAGAGCTCTATGCTGAAGTCTGCATCTAGCAATCACTTGGACACCTTCAGTCACTAATAAACGGCATAGCTACTCCAAGAAAAAAGAAAGCCACAAACAGATCAGTAGCAGAACCAAATGGAAGCCATGTGCCTGTCTTGTACCTTTGGCTGGAGTTTACATGAGTTATTGTTGCTCAGTCTGCCTTTGCCTTCTTATTCCTCCGAGCATTACGAAGGCACCAGAGGCCACTCTTGTCAGTGCGCTTTAATCCTTTCAGAAAGTGGGACATGGGCGAGGGAACGAGAGCCAATGAGTCCTCCCAGAAAACCCCAGCGCCTCCCCCTCCGGCTGCCTCCTCTGGCACGGGAACAATGAAAAGAATGTGAACCCCTTGTAACTTTATTGCAAATCCAACCTCAGGCTGAATGAGGGAGAATAATTACAGGAAAGTGGCAACTTTCCCTATGCTTTGGAAGGAACAGTTGGGGGCGCGACAGAAACGAATGTAAGGTAATGTAATCATTTACAGAAGATTTGTGGTCAATGAATGTTTGGCTTCTGTCCAAGCACACAGCCAGAGCTCATTACATTTAAGAAGACGGCCGTGAAAGCTTTCAATGACCACTGTTTGTCTTTCATTTCATCTCACGTCTGACCCCCCTGACCTCAGGGAAGCCTGCTAAGACTTTTCTTTTCACTGGCCAGATTTCAACTGCGGTAAATGTGATTTCTAAATGACAACACTGTAAATTCCCTGTGCGCTGGACCTTTCGCTTAATAACGAACCACGGCCTTTGCAACCTCAAGTACCTTAGCGAAGAACAGATTTTTTTTTTCCACATGAAAACAGCAGTGCGGGGCCTTGGGATAGGGTAACTTAGCAACTAGACCACAGGGATTAGGAAAATTGACTCCAGACCAAAATAAAACACCAGAGTTTCCTGTTTTGAGCCTTTCTGTACTATATTACAATTATTTATGAAAAGAGTAACAAAAAGGGGAAAAGGGGGATTAGGGTCTGAAGTGGGAGCAGAGAATGGATGTCCTTAGCACTGTACCATATTCTAAATGAAGAGCTGGTAAATGTAACCTTTTGGGGGCTAAAGGGAGAGAGGGTAGTTGGGGGGCGGGGGAGTGTTTGTAGGCACTGAAAAAAATAGCTCCCTGACATTGGCTATCTAGTGCTGAAATGCAAACTGTGCTTCCACTCCTTTGCCCCTGCACGCATGGGAGCTCCACGCTCATAACAGAGTTAGATGAGACCCCTCTCTACCTGCGCCTATTGTAAAACTGGCCAGCACACTGTGTGTTGTCACTGGACAAAAGGTACGGTGCCCCCACCATGTAGACTGGAGAGCTACTGCTCTCCCTGGCTGGTTTGAGAGAACGTTTTTGGGGTGGAATTGCACTGAAGCGGACTCCAGGAAACAGTCAGACACTCAGTCTTTTCCCAGAGACGACAGGCAGAGATTTTTGCAACCAGGATTCTTGGATCTTTTTTCAGTTAATAAAGAAGGATTGTATTTATCGACACTTCGAGGACAGAGACCTGAAATCTGCCAGACCTCACGAGAGCGGGATGAACTAGTGCTGTCAGTGAGACTTGTTATCTGTTGGCCTCTGGACACCAGGTGATTTTTGCAAGAAGTGTAATTTTAAAAAATACATCTTTATTTAAAAAAAAACCAAATGGCAATGTAATATTAATGTATACAATGCCATTCACAAGCATCATGGCGCCTCATATAGCTAAAACAACGTAAAAGCGGAAATCTGCCTTGGGTTTTCCCATGCGACTTCCACTGACTTCAGCAGAAACTGGGGACAAGAACTTCAGCTGGGGTGAACCAGCACAGCGCCGCTAGCATCAATGCTGCTGTAAATCAGGATCTAACCCTCTGCGTGGTTAGGCAATGGCAGAATTTGACCCATTTTATACATAGAGAATCAAACCATCCTAAACAGAAATTTTAAAATCTCATGTGTAATTTAGATGGACAATTCTGTCCTGGTTAGCTGGTGGGTTCTGTTCTACACTCTGTTACATCAGGTCTGGGCTGGTGCAATTCCAACAGGCCATAGAATCAGGCCTGGTGGTGGGAGAAACTATTAGATGCGAGTACACAGCATTATTACAATACACTTTAACTAAAGACAGATATACCGTGTCAGCAGTAGTATAATAGCAATGCTTGAGGTCCCATCCAAGATAGGTCCATCAATGGCTGTTAGCCAGGATAGGCAGGGATGGTGTCGCTCACCTCTGTTTGCCAGAAGCTGTGAGTGGGCGACAGGGGATGGATCACTTGCTGATTACCTGTTCTATTCCTGCCTTCTGGGGCACCTGGCATTGGCCACTGTTGGAAGACAGGACACTGGGCTAGATGGACCTTTGGTCTGACTTTTGTATGTTCTGTTCAAGATGGCTACCCCATTCTGCTAGGAGATGCTGTACATACACATGGTAAGTAACAGTCCCTGTCCTGCAGAGCTCACACTTTAAATAGATAAAACCGACAAAGGCAGAAGGAAAGGAGGATCGTTATTCCTATTTTGCAGACACAGAGCTGAGGCAGAGAGATTAAATCACCTGCCCCAGGCCTTAGAGCTGCTCTTTTCTGTGTCCAAGCTGCCTACTGTCACACACTGAGGTGTAGGCAGTGCGACCTAGTGGTTGGCACAGGAGTCTGGCCAAATGCTTGGAGCCCAATCAGAGGTCAGAAGCAGAGATGTGGTCAGGAGACAAGCCAATGGTCAGAGCCAGGAGTTAGGAATCTGGGGTTCAGAGATAGGCAAGGACTAGGGCGCGAGTGGAAGAGGTGGTGGGGAGGGAAACAAGGGTTGGACAGGAAGCAGGTCTGGTGCAATCTGCAGAAGTAGACGGCCTTGAGCAACCACGGGGCTGCTGTTGCTACCAGGCTTACATAAGGATCTGTTGGCCCTTCTGTCCCATCTGGGAGCACAGTCACTTAGTGAGGGTTTATTGGGCAGGGAGAAGGTACCCGGCTTCCTTTCAGAGCCTGATCTCCAGGGCACCCTCCAGGAGGCCGGGCTGCCCCCTTGAACTGAGGAAGGGACTCACCTGGGAGTAGCCCAGTAGCATTTGTAGCCCAGCTGAGCCCGGAGAACATGCCAGTGCAGAGCAGGGAGCTGTTGACAATCCCCATGCAGAGGTGTTCAGCTGAGTCTAAGATCCCAGGCGCTGTGAGTGCCCTTTTGCCAAGAACAGATTTTCAAAGAGCCTGGATTAGCCACTGTCTGCTTTGAAAATCAGCCCAAACTGGGCAGACCAGGGCAGGGAGCCCGCTGTGAAAACGCCCCTGTTCTGTTCTCTCAGAGCTCAACTCTCACTGTGTGTGACCCAGGGACCTCTGGATCCCAAGTGACAGAGTGCAGAATGGGGTGCACAGGGGTTTACAGGGATCCCCTGGTCTGAAGTTTACATCACTTCTCAGGGATGGTCTAGTTAATACTTCGTCCTGCCTTGAGTGCAGAGGACTGGACTAGATGACCTCTTGAGGTCCCTTTTAGTCCTTTGATTCTATAATAACTGGCCAGGGGGTAGCATGTAAGAACCCTGTTGAGAGCCTATAGCCTGCTGGTCATCATCATCATTGCAAAATGTAAGGCTATTATTTAAAAAATTGTGTCTCTATACTGGAAACTGAGCTCTTAAGGGATGTAAGTTAAGACAGGTCACCAGAAGGTGATAAACAGGTGGTGGGAAGGTGGGGGTGTGTATGTAGGAGATGCTTATGTTCCTGGCTGACCATTGTGTATTGTCTCATACAATGGAAGTCTATTTGCACACAGAGTGACCAGCTAATCAAGACTGTGAAGTCAACAAGAGATTGCAAACTCTACAGGAAGGAACACAGCACTGGGTCCTGTTTACAGCTAAGAACAAAGAATTAGTCTGGTACATCAGGAGAATGCAAGGAGAAACACGGTTTCCTTCATTGAGGCGAGAACTGCCAGCAGGTGCTATCTTATGAAAGGAGGGTCACAGGCAGCTTGGTTGAAAAATGCTGCAAAGACTTGGGGTGAACTAAACTTCCTTAAGACAATATTTTGTTAATTAAGTCTAGGCTTTAGAATGTGTGATAAGGTTTTATTTTACATGTAACCATCTGTTTCCAATTCTTCTATTTGCTATTACCTGAATCTCTGTTCTTGGTTAAACAAACATGTCCCTGTTTTCTCTATAAACAAACCCAAGTGCTGAGAGGTGAGTGGAGCGGTGATGCTGAGGAGAAGCTGGCAAGCGGAGGAGTTCTGTTCGTTTGGGAACAGTGGATCTGTGAGCGTCCAGAGGACCAGGTGGACGCTCAGAGGTTGAAGTCTGAGTATTGCATTGCCACTACCTGCAGAGGGCCTGTGGAACCAGCATAGGCTGAGAGAGGAGGATGTGTGACTGGTGGAGTCAGGGACCTGACTCTAGGTGGGCACAGACAAGGCTCCCTCATGCTAAGGGCAGGTGCTAGAGAGGTGGCTCCCAACCTTGGATACCCCTGAGAAGTGTCACATCCTACCATGCTCAACTCCAAATCAGAGATTTCCTCAGAAAATGCTGTGCCACTTGTGAGTGTTAAGTGCACGACCGGTGAGGAGGAACGGCATCCCGGGTAACACAGAAGCCTTTAGAACAGGTGAATGACGGGGGATTTTAACATTAAACTGGCAATAAGTTTCGAGTTCAAGAAACCAAAGCCAATTGTGCTGGCTAAAGTAGCTATTTGGCTCCGCAGGAAGTAACAAAAACCAGCGACAGGAGAGAAGCCAGGAATATACTTAGAAAAGGGCAATAATTGTGCTCTGTGAGGATTTGTGGTTCTTGAGGATATAAAGAGCTTTCTTGGACATTGAGACCTGAGGAAGCATAATAGTCCTTTGCACAGGCTATTCGAAAGGGCTGAACATGGGGCCTTCGGCATGGCAACACAGACCCCACAGCTTGAGCTAAAAGAATAACTTCAGTAGCAGTAGTAGGTTGTGCACCAGCCACCAGAAGAAGACATAGCATACGCTCTACCAATGTTTTACAAACGGTCAGCTGATATCAGTGATCTTGGTGGACAAGCAATCTTATATACCTTTTCCATCCTATAAGGAGCTGTGCAAGTTGGCTGGCATAATGATTCTGAGTTATAAATTATGTAACTGGGGAAACTATATATCGTACACTACTTGTACTGATTTTTTTCTTTGTAAAATCTGTATGCCTCAGACTCTTAGCTCCCTGGTATTCCCTGCTTTATACCCTACAGTTGTTGATTTACATTGCCACTTTATATGCCTGGTTTACAAATAGTGACGTTTAAGTCTACAGTTGGGAAGAAGTGATTCAGACTTCAAACAACATATTGGTAGCTTGTTTTTCTAGAAGAATAAACAGTACTTGCGTCACTTTAGCAGCCTTTTTTAGAGGAAGTGCATCAAATGGTTAGTAATTACTATATAACAACAAATATAATGTTATAGTGGGAATCACCAGGTGGTGCTCTTACATAGTCTTATTGGTTCTTATTCTTGTTCTGTGAGCACTGTTCATTCTCTGAAGAAATTCTTGTAGTGTTAGTTGTGTGATGTAGTTGCTTTTTGGGGGGAATTCTGACAAGCAGCAAGGGAATTTGCTGTCTGCCTTCCAAGTCTCTTACTAGAGTCAATTCTTGAGGCAAAGATTGTAGAAAAGGGAAGTTCATGTGTGTCATTAGTGACCACCTCTGTTCAAGGACTGGCCTATACAGTGTAAACAGGGCCGGCTCCAGGCACCAGGCACCCAAGCACATGCTTGGGGCTGCACCTGGTAAGGGGCGGCGGGGGGAGCGCGGCGCGGCATTCTGCGAGGGGGGGGGTGCTCCGGCGGCGTGGCCCGGTGCTCGGCGGGGGGCGGCGCTCCAGGGGGGGTTCTGGCGGCGCTCGGCGGGGGGCGGGGGCGGGCTCCGGCGGCGCGGAGCTTGGCGGGGGGGGACAGCACGGGGCTCGGCGCTCGGGGGGGGTTCCGGCGGCGCGGCGCTCGGCGGGGGGGGCGGCGCGGGGCTCGGCGCTTTTTTTTTGCTGCTTGGGGCAGCAAAAAAGCTAGAGCCGGCCCTGAGTGTAAAATAAAAAAGATACACTAAGTAAATAACCAGGAACTGTGAGGAGCCAACGTGCAAAGCTCCAGTATTTGCTACCCCAGCTAGACAGGGATGATAATATAATAATATTTGTAGAGCCTTTCTCCCCAAAGAATCCCAAAGGCTTTACAAATTATGGATAAAATTCATCCCTGTGCAAAGAGCCTACACAGGGTGTATGCATCACTTAGGGGTTAAGTAGGATCTAAATGATACACCGGCCCTTGCGGTCCATCTGCACATGCTGATAACCCCCCATCTGCATGGACGTACCCACCATGGGAAAGCAACTGCCTCTGGGATGAAAGCTGGTTTAACAGGGCCCAGTAACACTGTGCCACAGTTCTGGAAGAATATAGTACTACAGCTCCAAACACAACGGGCAGATTTTTGAACACAGAGAGAAAGTACTCAGTGTGGACACAAGTCAACGTTTTACTCCAGTTATGCGCTGCCAACAATTTAACCAGAGACTTGCGGAAGTTGCCTACCTCTTTGTCTGTGATAAACCTTGTGCTCTTTACAAAGGGAGCATACGCATGCAGAAGGAGAGTAGAACAGTTCTTCAAAAACCTTTCCCCTGGGCACGTAAAAGAAATGTCTCTCGGGCAGGGAGGATTTAGCTGTATCTAGAGCTCCATCCCTGAGAATTTTAACATGGAGCTCCTGAGAGCTCCCTCCAAAACGCTGTTAACCCAATCTTGTGAAAGGGTCATGACAAGGCCTCAGAACCCTAGTTATACATCTCATGTGACAGACACGGGAGCAAATTCTGGCCTCTGTTATGCCCCTGCTGCATAGCTGTAAGAAAGGCCAAGGTTTTCAAACGTAACTAGTGATTTTGGTTCCCCAATTTCACATACCTTTAAGGGGCTTGATCTCCAAAAAGGGCTGAGTACCCACTCTCTGAAAATCAGGTTCCTTTAAACCCGGTCCAATTGAGCACCTAAAATGAAGACCCACACAAAGCACGACCCATTTTTGAAAAACGTGGGCAAAATTTGTCTGATACCTTTATTACACCCAAGGGAGAACACAGAGTTCAATGAAATAAGCCTAAATGATCAAGTTCTTCATATGTTAAAATAGCCAGGTAAGCGATACACAGTCCAGGTACCACTGAGCAGCTCTTTATGGTTTCTCCTTATGCCCTAGCTATAAATATATATGACTAAGTTCTTCTTTCAGTTACCCCACTGCTATTTCCACAGAAGATAATGGAAGTAGCCTGGGTACATCTGAGGGCAGAATTTGGCCCAGAGTGTCCGTTCTAAGGCAAAATTGTATTCCCTCTTCTGATTGCAGAACTGTTGGGACCATTGCTCGCTCTTGTGTTTTCGGGAGGATCAGGTTGTTACCGAGGACTATGTTGCCTCTTTAGGATATGGTTTTCCTTGGTAAAATTCAATTCTTTATTCCAATCTTACCATTGTGCATCTGTGATCAAAAATTAAAATGGGTTTGGGCATTTGATTTTTTATGAGCACAGATTTAGAAGGTGGTTTAAAGGTGGTTTTTGTTTGTATTTTTTTGGTAAAAAAATGTATGTTAAAAATGGTGCCTATTTCCTGGCAGCTAATTTGTATGAAGGGAAAAAAAACAACAACTAGCCAATGGTAGGGCTGCATTTTGTAAAATGCCTTCCTAAAGTGATGAGCAGCTTTATGCTAGCTGGTTTAACCTGGCATTAAGCTCGCTGGCTAGCCAGAGATAGCCCATGGCACTGAGCGTTAACTAGAGGTGTATGAACTCCTTTGCATGTTTTTAGAATGTCAACATTATTTAAAGGAACATCACTTTACACAAATAATAATAATACCTAGCTATTAATAGCGCTTTTTGTTTTACAAAGGATGTCAGTATCGTTCTATACCCATTCTAGAAATACAAAATACAAAAATGTTACTTAAGCAAGCACTTTGTTTCTATTCCTGTTTCAGCTTCTTACTCACTGTCTTCTCTTGGACAAATCATTAACTTATCAGTGCCTCAGTTTACCCACCTGTAAAACGTGTATCATTAAAACTGGCAATAGGAATTTGCAAATAATTTTGGCATTTTGGAGATTTTTTCATTTTGTAGGACTCTAAAACAGACCCATGGTATGCATTTATTATTATTTTACAGAAATTATCATTTAGCAAAAATTCATTTACAGTAAGAAAATGTGCTGGTTGGTAAACCAAAAATTTCACTAGTGATTTTGGAAACAATTATGCTAAACATTTTTTTTTTTGGTCAGAAATACTGTAGAAACGTTTGTGGAAAATGGAAGATTTTGACAACTTTGAATGAAAAATGTCATTTTAGAAAACAGGCCATTTTTTGACAGAAAAATGCTTTGGGTAAAAAATTTCATCCATCTCTATGGATGTACTCTATGTCTAAATTTTTAAAAGTGCACGTATTTGGGCATTCATCTTAAGACACACAGGGTGAGATCTGCTGTATCTTAAAAGGGGCCCAAAACTCTGTCTGAATTATACCAGTCCCTAGCCTCTGTTTGGGAGAAGCTGGAAATGGGCGACAGGGGATGGATCACTTGATGATTACCTGTTTTGTTCATTCCCTCTGGGGCACCTGGCATTGGCTACTGGCGGAAGACAGGATACTGGGCTAAATGGAACTTTGTCTAACCCAGTATGGCCGCTCTGATGTTCTTATGTACCAAGGTCTGCAGAGCAGCCCAGAATCTGGAGAGCACAACGTGAACTAAGCCACCATAGCCCATCTTCTCCTGGGCTGCAATTGCTGTGCTGTGCCTTTAAGAGATAGCATGTGCCCTTGGAGAAGCCCCCGTGGGTTTAGACCTTTCTTCTGAGGATACATGGGCATTCACGAGAGGCTTCTACATCAGTATTCCCTCATTCACTGAGAAAAGGGTGCTGGGAATGATTCATGTAAAACATGTCTATTCAGACAAGGAGCCCAACTGCTCCCGTAAGAACTTTCTCCAGCTAAAAAGACCCCTAGGCCAGGTCTACACAAGAAAAATCACCCTCTGCTGACTGCGGGTTTAGCTCCATTTCAGCGGCACGGTGTTTAAATGGAAGCGTAGACCAGACCAAAATGTGCTCAGCACTGGTTAAAAAAAAATCTGTGGTTAAGACTTGTTCTGAGCAGGTTTTAAGCATCGCTTTCTCCAACAGTCCTTGGTCTCGTGCTGTGCTTGCAATTAAACTATTTGCAGCAGAACCAGTCTGTGCTGAACCCTTTGCTGACACCTGTTGGCAGCTCTGGGTAATTTTTTTTAGTGTAGACCAGGCCCTAGAATTTAGTTCAAAGCTACCGCAGATGCTGCAATGCCTAAGGAAGTACCGGAAAAACTGTTCATATTTCCACCTGAGCAGTATTTTTTAAAAATGAGAATGTGTGTTTGATGTGCAATAGTATTATTCAAAAGGCGTAGAGAATCTCAAAATACCTTGTCAGAGCCTGGCTCTTATATCATCTATCATCTAGTCCTTAAGACGTATTAAAATGGATTTAAAAGGACATGTTGCATTTTCTCTCTGTAAGGAACACATTACTGCTGCATAGGCTTTTGTTTTAATTAAAATAGGTATTGAAATCCTCCATGAAGCTTCAATGGAATGGTTAAAAACGGCAATTTTCTTATGTGCAGCGCAACCAAATATATTGTAATAGTTATTTTGCAACAAGGCAGAAGTCTTATTAATTTAGTTCAATCAAATCAAAGCTACTTTAATTTACGAAGCAATAAAATCCGTAAGCATCACTTTACATCAAAGAACTAAGAACAGTCTAAACAAAAGTGGAATGTTTATTTTGTACAATGGTCCATAACTGCATTTATGTGATTTAAAAGCTTTTTGAAGCATAGGATAATGTTACATGCATATAGAATTGTGTACTTGTTATGGCTCATTACTCTCCACAGAGACCAAAAATCATTTGCTATTCAACTCCTACCTTAAATATTTCCTTTTACATATAATTTTTTCTTCTTGCTTTAAATGGGATCTGTATGTTAATTTTTTTCCCAGAGTTGTGATGCAAGATCATTTACTAAAAGGGATTATAATTTAGTACAGTAAAGATCTAAAGAAACTTGAATTATTCGACTTTGGATGAAAAGATTATTCAAAGGTTTCTTCAGAGATAAAGGGATGCATCCCCTTATCTGGAGCCTGATACTGCAAGGTGTTGAGTATCTCGATTAAGCTGAAGGTGTTCAGAACCTCAGAAAAGGCATTCAGCAGGTGATGTTTGTTGGCCGACACGTTTTTTTTTTCCCCGATGAAAAATGCTGATTCAGTGACACTCAAATGTTTTGTGAATTCATGCCAGTTGCACCAAGTTGTTTTGGTAAAAAAAAAACAAAACAAAAACAAAACCAAAAACCCCCAAAATGAAAAAATTCTGAAAATTTGAAACGTTTACGTTTAGACATTTTCAAAACAAAACATTTTGATTTTTTGGCTCAAAATGATTGTCTATTAATAAAATTAAAGAAAATGTCAAACAATCGAAACATTTAATTATGGTTGAAATTGAAATGAAATATTAATTTTGTCAAAGTTCAACCTTTTGGTTTGATGCACTGAAATTTTTAAAAAATTCATGTTTGGGTCAACCCAAAATGTTTTATTCTGATTTTTTTGGAATTGCCAAGT